TCAAGAGGACATACCCTCAATTTTCGTTTTGGGAGGATCCCTGTGAGGGGCCTGAAAAAGTGAGGGGGAGGAGGTTACAAAACGAGAGAAATCTTAGTTCCCATCAAGGTTGAGATAAAAATCGATGTGAATAGACAAGAAGTAGTAGTACGGTAGTAAGTTTCTTGATGAAATATGACTCACCGACGTGCTTTAGGCAGAGAACGGGGATACAATAGCTCTTAAAGGACGCAGTATACAATAACCTGAAAAATTACATCTACATCTACCACTCTTGACCTGCAGGCTGGGTATCACCAGATCCCAATAGATGGCAAGGACAGGGAGAAAACAGGGTTCTCCACACTGGACGGCCACTAGAAATACGGCGCATGGCTTTTGGGTTATCTGGAGCCCCGGCCACTTTCAAAAGATTAATGGACCGGATTTTGGTTAGACTGAAGGGCGTTCAATGTTTCGTTTCCCTATACGACGTCATAAGCTTTGGAAAAAACATACAGGAACACAATGAGTGGCTTGGCAGGGTATTAGAAAAACTCCAACAAGTCAAACTACGGGTAAATTTAAGAACGTGTCAATTCGCCCAAGACTAGGTTAGCTACTTGGGTCACCTAGTCACTCGAGAAGGTGTAATACCAGACCCGGATAAGATCAAGGCCATTAAGGAATATCCAGCCCCTACGGACAGAAAAGCAGTGCAAGCCTTCCTGGGCCGGGAAGGCTATTATAGACGATTCATCCCAAGATTTTTGAATGTAGCGAAGCCCCTCACCGACTTGATCGGATGTGACGTTTTCCTGGCTGGGTGAACACCAGAAGGCCTTCGAAAAGTTGCGAGACGCGCTTTACCAGGAAAATATCATGATCTTTCTAGACTTCGCGGAACCTTTTATTCTCGCCCCTGACGGGAGCGCTGACGCGACCTCCAGATTAAATCGGTGGAGAATAAAATTGGAAGAGTACTCGTACGAACCCATCCACAGGCCGGGGAAACTACACACCAACGCCGATTCACTTAACCGGAGTGTTGCGGGAGTGGAGATTTCCGGGTGGACTCGTCAAGACTTGAAAACCGAACTGGAAAGGGACACGGTATGAAGTAAATACAAGGAAGCTATGGTAGAAAGGTGTAGACTAGACTAGATTGAAGCTGCTGGTTCTAAGAACCTTGGTGCCGAACGTTTTAAGACAGTGCCATAGTGCGAAATTTGTAGGTCACCCAGGGGTGCGAAGAACCAAGGCGCGAGTGGAGCTTGAGTACTTCTGGCCGGGCTGGCAGGGTGACGTCGAAAAACACGTAGCCGAATGCCTCTCATGCGCCAAACGGAAAACACCAGTAAAGCATAAAGCACCCCCTCGGAGAGCCTAAGGTACCGAACCGACCCTTCGAACTCGTGTTGATAGGCATTGTGGGGGCCCTTTACCTGCCACCGAACTGTGGGCATACCGGTATATTTTTACTTGTGTGGATCATTTTTTTCGGAACGCAGAAGCCATTCTTTTGGTAGAGCAAAGAGCAGTCTGACCGACGTACAACAGATTTCCGCTTCAGGGAGGGTCAGTGGATTCTGGCTGCGCCAACCTGTACGACCCCAGGGATACGCTGCGAAGTTTATCCAGCCCTGGGAGGGTCCCTACCGGGTATCTCGGTGCATCGGCCCTCTGTCCTACGAGATAGAAGTCGGCAATGACAAATTCCAAATCGTGCATGCGAACCGTTTAAAGAACGTTATTTATCCGTGGGTAACAACGGATAGCAATGCCACTGAAGAGAAAAGCCAATCAAGCAGGCGCACATCATATACAGCATCCAACTTTGAGGAACCCAGGTGGTACGATGATACTTCCTTCATCGGACGAGGAGAGAGAGAGAGTTGCGTATATAAACTTCTTACAGATTCCGACTTCGAAGCGGAAGATCCGTCCTTGGCCCATTCGGAAGAGGAGAAACTCTCGTAGCCAGAGAGAGAGGACTTTCGGACTCTACATGGACCCCAGAGCCTAGAAGAGGAGGTGCCTCCGAAACGCACCGCTCTCCATACCAGCTTCGTCACCGCCACTAACCGATCTCGTTATATCTGTTGCAGGAGTGCCGAGGGGAAACGGACGTCTCTGTTCCCCTAGGGTGAGGTGGTATTAGCTGGTGACTCGTGGGACATCATAGAAGATGTTAATTTGGTGGATTGTCGACGCGAGTGGGAAGAGTGGGAAACCACCAGCGAGTGGTTAAGGGGGAAATTTTGGAAGGGGGTAAAAGCCCACAAAATAGAATTTGCTAGGCTGAAGGACGTGACAGCTAAAGCCTCGGAACTGTTGACATCCCTGGTAGGTTTTTCATACCAAAGAAAAAGGATGGTAGTGTCCTCGGTCCTGAAGGCTGGTACGGCAGGGGGAGCGGCGGTGAAACTGATTGGAAGAAGGTGGCTAGATTGGAGTTGGACTCAGGATATTGGAGCGTCAACAAGGGGAGGTACTTCATCTTGTCCAAGGACACCTTACAGTGCCCGTGCTATTGACATGCAAACACAGGAATTGACAAGAAAGGTGAATCGCTTGGCTAGTGAGGTTAAGAGTCAATTGAACGAATTAGTGGGGCTAAAGGCCTTGATTAAAGAGAGGTTAGAATTAATGGAAAAAATTAGTAGTATACTTAGGACCTTAGATTAGAAGTAGGGAAAACCCATTTATTTGTAGAGAAAATGATATAATTTCTTGATATAGTCGGGTTAGGTAGACCCTATAAGGAACCTAATACCTCCAAATACCTTATCCAAGCTGCTCAGCCTAGTAGAGCCCTGGTACATACGCGGAATTACCCAATATGCATGAATATTAGGACCTGATTACCACGAGGGCTTACGCGAGGCAGGATACCAGTGCCGTTAAAGTACCTATTCAAAATTTAAAATGTTCAGTGTTCATGAGTGGCCTTGAATTGAAATTGAAAGTGAACAAACTTGAATGTGCGATCCTACATTGTGAAAAATGAGGATCTTTTGTTAGTAGGTGAAAATTTGCAGTATTCAGCGGAGCTACCGAGAACCTGAGAGACACCTGCCGAGGGAAGGATTCCTAGTATGCCCAGCGGTGATACCATTGGCGACCCGACGGTCTGAACGACCGGCAGCGGATGGCGGTGGTTTGTGAGTGGAAGATATTAACTGGAACTCCGCGGGACTTGTGGGTGAATAGTAAAATGGAACACTCATGGCGGTACCATCTATCGGTGGGGCAGGAATTGACAATGGTATGCAGGAATGCGTCAGCTTTCAAAAGCCCCGTCATTAAAGTCAATAGGACAGGGCAGCTGCAGGATGTCGAGGGTTCTGAACTTTCTACGGACCAGCACCTAACACCAACCACCACGAAAGATCAAATGCCCGATCCTTGAGACCGGCATCGTCAAAATCGCTGAGGGGCACCTGGTTGAGTCTTTGGAGGAGGACCCCGAGTGGTCGCCGCACTATCTTACCAATGAGGTGGCTGTGGAAACGCTCCTGCGTCGAATTGAAGCAACCCGGACCAGAAGAACGACTACCAAGGGGTGGAGCATAAAAGCTGGGGTAGCATTGGCGATTCTGGCAGTCGTGGGAGGAGGATTCTGGAAGTGGAGATGCTCTGCAGGAAAGAAGAAGACGCAGAAAGAGGAGGTGACAACCCAGCCGACGTCCGTTTGAGAAAGTACGAGTTCAGGAGGGAGGCTCCCGTGGGAATTAGACGCCAGTATTAGCTCATAAATTGATGTTTGCTAGGTCATAATTGAGATCGGCAAGTAGTGTAATGTAGATTAAGGTAGTGCAAAGTTGGGCCTAGTCGGCCAACTCTAATTGTTGGGGGGGATAGTATAGTGTATGGGTGACAAATAGTTTTAGTTAAATTTACAGTTGTATGAAAAGTGCATATACAGGGAGGAAAGAAATGCCAGATAGACGGATCCCATTTCGCGCGGCGGACGTTGCGCCAGTCTTGTTCCAACGCTGGGAAAGAGATGATCGCGGCCGTCTTGCTGATTCTGGGTGAGTTTCTTGCGTTGTATCCCTCTCAGGCTGAGCAGTGTGTGCAATCCTATATTCATAGAATAGATTTGGAAACTTTAACATGGGTAAAAACCTAAGCCCATATTGTAAGTTTATGGATAATTTTTGGAATCTGTCATTGACAGAAAGCATAGCCCTTATTGTATAATCGAACAAGAAATGATTTCATTTGTGTAATTTCTTTAATGATAATAAAATGTAAGTCTATTAATTCATAGTCAAATTGTTTTCCAAGAGCCAACCAACCTTACATCCCCCAATCAATCAGATGATTGTTATACATCGACAATCTCTTCTTTTACTTTACATGGCAAGACCTGGAGTGGTCGGAGGAGTGGTGCAATCAGCGATAAACGTTGTTATAGCTAGGATACCGGTTTCGCCTTCTCTGGGGAGAAAACCGTGTGCATCTTTTTTTTACTGCCCTCCGCACCACTGACTGAGGGAACCCGTGAGGAACTCGGCCTCACATTTATTAAGATGGCCGCCACACTAAATCAATTAAATGATTTGCTTATATTTTAATCAAGGAGAGATTAATTTCTGGACACAGGCTTCTGCGGTCGAGCCGTTATCTTGTACATGTCGGTGAGGTAATGATAATAGGAGGGCAAGCAGAAAACTCCCTACTTCTTTGTATTGCATTTTAATTTGGTGAAGGGTCTGTTGATTAGTGTTCATTAAATGTTAGTTATTAACCTTTATTGGCGAAAAATTTCTTTTTTCTTTATTTATTTGGCTACTCTCTTTTTCCATCTCTACTCGTTAGAAACCGGCATTGAGAGGGTGACGATATATAACTTATATGATACATATATTGATATATTTGGTATTTGCTGTATGGTACATTATTTCTTGTTTTGACCACTCGTGCTCGACGCCTTAGAGGTAACTGGACGTTAAGTATGACAAAAATTATTTTACTAAATATATTTTTAATTACCTTGAATGTAGGTTACTTACAGAAAACCTTTGCCAAAGATATGTCCTCCAGTAGAGAGAGGAGCGGAAGAACGACGATGGCAGAGCTCAGAGTGGAGCATAATTCTAAAAATGTATACGTCTTATCATTGGCATGGAGCTCGAATGGGGGAGTACGGATCATGGGTAAACCTTCTTTTACGTTGCCTAAAAATAAACGTAGAATTAATGTTTAATTCAGTGGTGCCGTCTGGCCGTTCTGAAATGAAGAGGTCTCACTGTTACCGATTAGGACGAACGGAGCCGATCCATGGATGTGGAAGCAGTACGCAATCAAAGCAGAAAAGACGACTACAAGAATGTTCCTAGCAGTCGAAATGAACCATATTACGTGAGACAACGTCTTTTGCCTCACAGTTCGTAGTGTGTCGTCTTCTGGTCCTACAGATATGTCCTTCATTTTCTGGGTTATTTGAAAAAGAAACAGAATTATTTATAAATAGCTTACTATTGGGTTGTCCGGAAAATAATGCAGGATTTTGGTATTAAACAAAAAAAAAGAAACTAGTTACTTTAAAGCAATGTTCTTTAATCAAAATANTATATATATATAGATGCAAAATAAATGCAGGTTTTGAAAATTTGTTTTATTTTCGCAGGTGGTTGTCTTGTAAGCAAAGATAAGTCCTCAAATCTAATTTATGGATTATAATAAATACTTTTAACTGTTACCTTTTATACAAAACATTTTATTTTATATTGAATTTTATAAGTGTGAGGACCTGCGAAATTAAATATATTTAAACTAGATTTTCGTCAAATTTACTTGTACGAATTTAAACTTGGGCGAATTCAAACGGCGCGTATCATCACAGTTTGGGGGAAGGAAGCATTAGAGATTGCATGGTGCAGCGATGATTTCAGAGATTTCCTCTTGAAGATTTAGGTCTCGAAGACAGAGAATGTCGCGGTAGGCCTTCCGGTGTGGACGACCAACTCAAAACGTTGATTGAAAAAAAAAAAAATCACGTAAGACAACACAGGAAATTTCGGAAGAGCTTAGTGTTGACCATTCAACGGTTGTTCACTATCTGGAGCAAATAGGTAAAGTAAAGAAGTTTGACAAGTGAGCGAAGCCCAAAGAAATTAACTCTTTGAAATTTGCACGTTTCTTCTGTTGCGCCAAAATGATCTATTTCTGGATCGAACCATCACGTGCGATGGGAAATGGTTTCTGTACGATAGCAGGACAAGGATAAAGCGCCAAAACACTTCCCGAAACTAAATCTCCAGCCAAAACAGGTGATGGTGACTGTTTGGTGGTGTACTGCTGCGTTTGTTCTCTATAATTTCCTGAATTATGGTGAAAATATCACAGCAGAGAAATATTGACAAGAAATTGACAAAATGCCATATGGGGCCGATTCTTCTTCACGATAACGCCAGGCCATATGTCGCAATGCCAACCCTGCGGAAACTTAAGGACTTAGGGTATGAAGAAACCTTACTGCACCCTCAACATTCACCTGACCCCTCGCCTATAGACTTCCACTATTTTAGGCATTTTGATAACTTCTGGAGGGATACATTTTTTAAAGAAGAAGAAGAAGATGAAGAAGAACGCGGTGAAGCCGAAAACGCCTTTCAAGATTTTATTGTGAGTGGAAATAAAAAATTTTATTTCAGCGGAATAAAAGCGCTTATTATACGTGGGCAAAGATGTATAGATTGTCAAAAATATTTTATAAAAATATTGAAAAATGGGAAAAAATTAATTGCCTTTTCAAAACCTGCATAATTTTTCACCAGCCCAATATATATGTACATAAAAATACGTGTGAAAAACCAGAAAAAGAAGAAAAACACGCATAGGGCCGGCGATGACAGCTGTTTGTCGGCCTCTAAAGTTCCCACATTATTATTGTTAAAATAAGTGGTCTAAACAATTTTTTTTTAATGTTACAGTAATAGCCAATTAAGTACTATCATCTGTATTTTTTCAAATGAGACCTACAAACCAAGTTTTGATACATTTGCTAAAATCTTTTATATTTTAAACTTATATTTTTAAATATAAGAAATGATACCAAGATCAATTAGATTTGACGGGGGGTATAAAATCCTAAAATACAATATTGTTCAAACAAAAATAAGTATTTTGCGAGTTTATCTCTCATGTTAGATTGTACTCAAAGTTCAATTTATTATTTTTCTTTATAGTCTACTTTTGGCTTTTGAATACAGAAGTTTGTAATAATGCTGTGATTTTGTATATTTGCAGGAGGTGAATTGCTTTTCCTATGGTGTGTCGAAAAATTTCACCACAGTTTATAATCACTCCGTATACCTCAAGAAGAAATCTATAATTTTTGTTCACCATATGCCGCAATGATAGTAAATACAATGTAAGTAAAATGCATAATTACAATTCAGAAACAAACGTTAAATTTCCATTTTTTTTAGGAAAGGGATAATGAAATTTTTTTAAAAACCGACATGCTGCTCAAATCACCTTTCAAGCTTTGTAGAGACGCATCTGATGAAACTTTACTTAATACTTTCATATTTATTCATCGTTTAGATAAAATTCAAAGCAGGGTGTCCTTGACATTCATAGAAATTGCTAAAAATATAATTATACTTCTGCATTGATGTTTGCAAGAAAATAAACGCCTATTGAGGAGTTGTATTAACCAGCGTCATTTATAGACAGTTCATATGTTATTGCTTTCATAGTATTTTGAATATTTGTAAGATTCAAGTAACCTTTTTGAATTGTTCAACCAAACTTAAGTAAGTTTTTGTTCGAGCAATTACAAGAAACAAATATAATTTCGTTTTTAACGTAAAATAGGCAAAAAACATAAACCGTCTATGTTTTAGAATTAAATCATCCTTAGTAATAATAACGACTTGGTATAAACATATGGAATACCCTCAAAAGCAGGAGTACAATCATACAAAGGAATCCCATGACTGCGTCCCATTTTTTCGTCTGATTTATGTGGCCGGCGAGTTGATCCCAGACGTCCAGAAAGTTGCTCGCTGTGTACGTCAGACCCAGCAGGTCTTTGATCTGTGTAGTCGCTATTATAATCGCTGCAGCGGACGTGAAACCCACCGAGACGGGGCCAGATATGAAATCAACTAGAAAACCTGTCGAAACATCATAATTACGAATTAAAAACAAGTCTAAAATCAACGGCGATAATAAAAATCTCAAAACTCAAGACACCTCACCCGCCTGAATTTTAGAGTTAAACATACGAGTATTTGGTCGTTTTTCGATCATTTTGGTCTGTAAGACCGAACCAGAGAGGATAGGCCGAATATAGTGTTAGGAAACGGCCAAACTACAGGTTTATAGTGATAAACTAATTGTGCCGCAGATATGATGAAATCTCTCACCATTCAATTTTGAACATGCGTAAAACCTGAATATTAGTTAGCTATATGTTTAAAATTGGAAGTAAATCAAAATCTATATGTTATTTATGCATTTATCTCCAGTGTACTTTACATTTTTCATTTCAAATTTCTCAAAACACTGGAGTTCCTTCCCTTTGTTAAAACTGTGTGACACTATTGTATTGGGTTGTCCGTAAAATAATGCAGGATTTTGGTATTAAACAAAAAAAAAGAAACTAGTTACTTTAAAGCAATGTTCTTTAATCAAAATAATTTCCCATACTCTCAATACATTTNTGAGTAATCCTGTAAACGTAAACAGAATATTTTATATAGATTTTTTTTAATGAAAACTTAAAATCCTGCATTATTTTCCGGACAACCCGATATTTAAATTGAAATTGTGTTTTGTTAGGTCTTTATTTCAGAAAGTTTGTTTGATCTTATAATTAAGGATTATTTGAAGATCGTACGAGCGGTCTGGTGTGACGTAGGTTTTAGAAAAACATTTTCTTTATCTTGCCAACGTTTCGATCTTTGTTGAGATCATCTTCAGGCCTCGGATTTATAAACATTGCTTAAATTTTACAAATACATGTGGAAAAAAAGAATTTATACAATGATAGAAATTTTATATTCAATCAAAGTATTTGTACTCACTCAAAGTGTTTGTTTTCTATGAAGAATGTCATTCTTGTGAGTCGTATTGAGAGTGCCAGTGAGATATTGCGAGTGTTATGTATATATACTTTGGATTTTGAAGGGGTGGGGGATAGAAAGACATTTTTATATGAGGAGTCGGCTTCTTTGAGGTGAAAGGAGCCGACAATGGGACAAAATGGGTAATGGTTCGGCCTGATTATTATTTCAGGATTATTTAGACGGGGATAATTAGGGAAAGGAAAGCCAAATTGTTGAAGAATTAGACTATGTCGAAATGTTTGATGTGTGGAATGTGATGATTGTTTTATATGTTATATGTTTTGTGTGATGTGATGATAATATATGTGTGTTATCGATATTGAATTTTATTAATTATAGTAGCGTAGCTCCGACTGAGTTTACATGTGTCTGTTCTGTAACACCCCACTTTATAATTAAGTTTGTAAACCCAGATTTTTGACAAATTTTCAACCTTGTCTTCAAGTTTTGAAAAGATACTAAAAAAAAGAAACTAAAAAGAAGCGGACTTAGCAACCCCACAAAAAATGAATCTTCAGGTCTTGGTTCATTTTTGGTGGGGTGGCTGGGTCCGCGCCTTTTAAGTAATTTTTTGAAAATTTAAATACAACAGTGTTACACAGTTTCAACAAAAGGGGGAGGAAACTATATTGGTTTGAGAAATAAAAAATGTAAAATTAAACATGGAGATAAATGCATAAATAATATAATATATTTTGATTACCTCCTATTTTAAACATGTACCTAAATGATATTTGTCATACAAATAAATCACAAATTAAAATTAATTTCTTGCAGTATTATTAAGATAATATTGAGTTGTAATTTACGTTTTTCGCACGTTGAAATTGAGCTACCTTAAAACCAGCTTCTCGTTGGAACGTCGCATTGACGATGGATCGGCGGGTTCACTCAATTTATGCCGAGAGACATGTTTGTAACTCCTTCAAACTGATGATGACCGTTTAATGCTCAAAATGCGGATAGCCGTAAACAAGAAATCTGTGAGTAGAACCAACATTTACAAAAATTGAATTCACATACTCACCCCACCTTCATAATTTCTACCAAATTGGAATGTATGGTAAAGAATTCTATTTACATAGAAGTAATGTTTTAGATCAAAATACGACTAAACTTTGTCCGAATTTATATATTTTCAAGCTAATGTTATTTTAATAAAAGATGTGTACCGCAAATTTACGATTGCGTTATCTTAATTAGATATGATGTTCCAATGAATTGAATTATTGAAAAGGGTATGTTCTAAAAATATTGTGGTATATCCTGTGATGTGCTGGCAAATCGCACAGTGGCAATGAAGTGGATTGTATTTTATTATTCATAATACATATTATTTAAAAGATAGATACATTATTACAGAGACATATAAAGATACATTACTATTTAATGGACGATGCAGCTTACTTCGTCTTTCTGTTTGTTGCAGGTATAAACAATTGCTGGTGTCAACCTATAAAACTTTGGCCAGTATATTCAAAAGGGGAGTAACTTACTTCCAATTCTCAGGTTGAGCAGGCGGCAGATCGTCAGATGTAGACAGATGAACAGACGAAAGGAGAAAAGTAAGAATAAACTAGAGTAAAGGAGAAACGGAAAAAGGCCTCGAAACGGCTGTCCTAATAATGGGCCCAGGACTGAACTATTCCGGAATAATTCCGGAATGTTATTACTTATTCGGCGCAAAAATTGATCAACATTATTGCTAACCGTGAAATGCGGTCTGGTGTGACGTAGGTTTTAGAAAAATATTTTCTTTATCGTGCCAATGTTTCGATCTTTATTGAGATCATCTTCAGGGCCTGGGATTTATAAACATTGTTTAAATTTTACAAATACATGTAGGATGTGAAAAAAAGAATTTATACAATGCTAGAAAATTTTAGATTAAAAAAGATTTATACAATGCTAGAAAATTTTAGATTAAAAAAAATGAATTTATACAATGCTAGAAAATTTTAGATTAAGAAAAAAATTGAATTTACACAATGCACTGAAACGTTGGCACGATAAAGAAAACGTTTTTCTAAAATCTACGTCACACCAGACCTCATCTCACGATCTCCGAATAATCATTGACTAACGGTCACGAAACACCACACATTATTGCTAACAAACGAACAATTTGATTCTCTCAAATTTAGTTTAGTTCCTTTTTAAAAATAGAAGGTGTTGAATGCCTTATCTGATAATAGTCAAACAGAGAATAGAAAAAGGGGCGAATTTTCGATAAATTTGTCATTTTTGAATTCATGTTGTTAATTGATTGTTAAATATAAATAGTAAAATTTAAATAAATGTTTCCGCGTTAATTTGCTCACATTTAGTTCAGGGATTTGAATTTTAAACTGTGAAAGCGGAATATTGAACTTTCTTTTGGGAAAGAGAAGTCCTAGGTGATACATACTTGCAGTATCATATTCTTCATTAGTGTATGAATAATTGTAATTTTTGACTTCATGCTGATGGATCAATTGCTATATAATCCAATAAGCAAAGGATTATTTTTTTATGAAAAAGTAGGACGTCCGTAGCTTTCTAAACGTAATAACAACCCACGAAGCTTTTCAATTTGTCATAAATTAAAATGAATGTTTAATCACCTATTTGCACTACTCCCATGACGATCTGGATGATGCCGGTGAGGAAGCACAGAAGGATGGCTCCGCTGGGTCCAAAACCGTGCAGATTCTCACGAGTCAGAATGGCCATGATAGCCGTGGGTCCGATAGGGCTGTCTTTGACAGATCCGAACAAAGCGTATACGAAACATCCTACGAAAGACGAATATAGGCCGTACTAAACAAAAACAGATAGAAACAAACAAAACATAATTAGATTTATAAAAGGTTTTGAATTGAGTGATGATTAAAAAAAAATCATCTTAATTTCGTAACATCATGTGCATATTACAGTACTTACCACTATAACTTTGAACTTGAAAATACTTGAAAATCATTTGAGTAGGGTTTTAAAACATTGAAATAAATGCGAACTAACTAATCTTTCGGCTGCCTTCGAGAGAACTAGTTCAAATCTAAGTTAATTTTTCCCTTAATACCTTTCAAACGTTTTTCACTTAAATAATAAATATATTGTAAAGTGTTTTTTTTAAATTATATACATCATAATGCGGGAACAGCGGTGGTCGAGTGGGTTAGAAGTCCGCTTCTAGATTCATCATACGTGGGTTCGATATCGTTGCCCAAGTCATTTTATTTCCGATACCTCATCCGTGGAAACATGTAGGAGGATGGATGTCAGACATAATTATTTTAAATAGCTATCACTTATGTTTTGGTTCTATTAAATTTTGAGAAAAAATTCTGATTAGGCTAATCGCGATGCCATTTGAAGAAGACAGTTAATCAAAAATCATACACCAGTATTACAATATCTTTATGTTATGGCGATACTTTGTTTAATCCAAAAATACGCAAATTATTGAAATTTAATGCGATATCACTAAGTACTAGTAAATATTATATAAAGGTTAAATTCACTAATTTCGTGGTCCGCTTGACCAATTAATATATTACAATTAATTAAGTTTTTAGTCGAGATAAAAAGTCAATGGCACGAGCGGGATTCGAACCCACGATCTTTGGCTAGATACGCCGCTGCTCTACACCTTGAGCTATCGTGACCTCATCCACTGGGACACCAACTTCCCATCTCAACCGCACCTTTCGAATTTTCCCTCCTTTCTGCCATTTTTCAAATGTCGTGTAATCGGATTGGATTCTCGGCGACAAATGAAATGGCCACGGAGAGCTTTAGTGAAGTATACTTCATGTAAATTCATTTAATTCACTAATTTCGTGGTCCGCGACGGTTTAGGCGTTGACACGGCGCTCATCACTGGAAGGAAAAGGTCCCGGGTTCGAATCCAGCGGCCCTGCATTAGAAACAGACATACTTACAAATGGGCTTTTTTTCAAAAACACCCTGAGGGTTGATATAATCTCTGCTGTTGCGAACCCTGGGTAAAAAATCTCTTTTCTAACAGATTGGTTTTTTGTATAAAATAAAACGATTTTAAGGCCATCCTTAAACGTTACTTAAAGTTTTATCGACCTCATCAAGACGTACCCAAAGAATAGGTCCTTTTGAGACAATACTTCAACTTTGAGGACAATGTTATCTCCCCTGTTGCAGTACATCGACCTTGTTGCACTATTAAATTATGATCTAGCCTTGAAACCTTGCAATATATCCATTTTAATTTTCATGGTCAAATGCTCATCTCAGCGTATTATAATTAAACAACTATGTATCTTTGGTTTCGATATTGCAAGTTGCATCTATAATCTGAATTGTCTATTAGATTTTACTTATTTTCCAACAAGTTTAAATTAAAAAACATCGAAATTTACAAAATGTTAGTTTACATTACACTTATATTTTCTTAACTAAAAATCGCAGCATTATTAAGCTATAGAACGCATTTTTGAAGTATGTTCGCTTTTTTTAAGAGTATTTATTTAGTTTTGGCCAAAGTAGTCCATTGGAATAAACTTATCTGTTTTATAAATATGAAAAATTCGAACCGTTTAATACGCCGTTCACTTACTTCAACAATTTCTGTAAAGACTGCATGAATTTTTCCTTCGTCTTTTGAAATAATATACAATACAACTGAAAGTTATTTTTACGTACTTTGAATTAATACTTGGACGCTGTGTCAACCTTTAGAAACCCTTTTAGATGGCCAGGCTGAATGTTTCTTCTCTTCTCTAACCCATCAACCTCAGTTGAAGAACTTCGGCAAAGGATAGAAAATGTATGTAAATCCTCTGAGTATTGCTCTGAGCTCCAGTAAAGATTGGTCAAAAAGAGCTAATCTTTGTATCTTTACAAAAGGCAGGCAGTTCGAAGATGAAATGTGATTAATAAATAGCAAACCACCAACCAAAAAATTATTGGAATTTACATCTAAACAAACGAAATGCATTTTTTCAAATTTTTGCCATAACTTTGACCAATTTAAAATTCGATTATAATAAAAAATAATAAAATGATGTGTCAGGATGTATGGAGTCGCAATTTGACATTTTGAACTTGAACTGGGCCTGAGGTACCCAGAATAATTTTTCTACAAAAAAAGTAAAATTTGTTAACTAGACTAAAAAATATTAAACAGGTATTTTTGTGTTTTGATAGCGTCATTGGTTCAAGGGAAATTCAGCCGGGCTAGTTAAAAGGACACCCTGTACATAATATTTGGGGTTTAGATTACACTTTTTAAAACACATCAAGTTAAAGGATTTAGAAAGGTGAATTTTTCTTTATTGAAACTTTATTTTACTGTAATAAGTTTCGGCAAGCTCTAAAATGAAAATGAACTCTTAAATGAATAACATGACAATATAAAAATTTATTGCCATATGCTTTGACGTAGGATCTGCATTAACTATAAAAAAGGCATGTGTCTAAATATATGGTATGGTAAAAAAGGATACTAGGAAGCGGGGTTTGCGCTCCACTGCAGCTTTCCGGCTTATTGTACCTTCCTAGTTTCTTAGTTCAGTGCAATAGACTCAATCCTTCTCCTTAGAAGTATCAGGTCATTGACTGTTGCTGCTGCAATTTGATTCCCTAAGTTTTTCCGTACGTTAGGTTAAATCTCCATTGAGCTGTTGCTTCGCATTCGAAGATGATATGAGTGGCTGTTTCCTTCTCATTACATAATCTGCCAATGGGATCATGGTTGTATGATGTATGTTTTCTCAGATGCCAGTGACCGGTTAGTAGTCCTACCAATCCTCTGAGTTTGGCCCTCTCCAATTGCAGCAATGCTTTTGCCTGTCTTGGTGAGGGTTGTTTCATCATAAGTTAGCGCCGCTAGAGTTTATCCACTTCTCCTTTTGTTTTGTTTGGATCCATTCTGCGATGGAGGATTCTATATTTGTTTTTGTTATCCCAAGTATAGGTTCGGGGCCTATATATGGTCTTGCAGATCCTCCTCTGGCCAGACTGTCTGCTTTTTCGTTACCCAAAATTCCCCTGTGCCCTGTTGTGTTTCCCCAGGTTTTGGAGATTTTGGATATATTCACTGACTAATTTTGATGTGATTCTTTTACATTCTAATACTTTTATGGCCGCTTGGCTATCAGATCTTATGAGGATTTTTTTGCCAGTGAAACCTCTTTTAAGATTTTGCAGGGCACAAGCATTTATGGCATGTATTTCTGCTTGAAAGACCGAAGTGTACTTCCCTAATGAGTTTGATTGCTCGTGTTTTGGGCTTGTACAGAAAACGCCTGAGCCGGTTCCTTCGTTTGTTTTGGAGCCATCTGTATACCATATCATTGTATCTGATGCTCTCCTGTGTTCTTCCTCTCCTTTGTAGTCCGTCGAGACTTTATAGGAAGTTGTGAAGAATGATTCCGGGATCATATAGTCAGTCCCCATTCTAATAATGGGTGTCTAATTTTGTAGATTATAGTTGTATGCCCTAATTGTTTAGTTCCTTTCCAATTTAATTGTTTCTGGAGCCTAAGTGAGCTTTTCCCAGCCTCCCCTTGTATGAATATTTCCAATGGAGGTAGGTTTAGCAGAGTTTCTAATGCATTTGTAGGAGTTGTTCTCATTGTCCCTGTGAGACTAAATATATGCTTTACGGGCGAATATTTCAAATATAAATTAATGGTTTTTATTACGTCAATTGTTAGTCATATTTTTGAAGGAGTTGGCTGTATTTTTAATCCATAACTTTGGGGAAGTGACGGCATCTTTTGTGCCATCGTTTTTCATTTTTTAAAATAACATATTTACCACGTAAATTACAAAAAACAAAACTAAATTATTAAGAAATAAAGTAAGAAGGGCAATACAGTACCATTTGTTGAAGGCTGTCAAAATTAACGAAAACAAAAATTTTCCACATATTGCAAATATTAAAACTATAGTACGGTGTCAGTTGGTGGTACCTGTGGTGAAAGGCCGGCGACGTTGGCGTAAGCGATAGCCTGTGGTATGACTGTGAGGCCTACTGTCACGCCGGCCAAGAGATCAGAGATGGCTATCTGCGAGTTGTAATTCTTAATATAGGAAATAAAAGGAAGCCTTTTATACAGGACCTTTTTGCTAAAGAATGTTCTCCTCGATACGATGTTCACTCCCGTCCAGACGTTGAAGTTAGGCCCTGTACGGAGTTTGTCATCAGCCTTTTCCGTTTCACACACTAAAATACACAGAATAGTATTAACAACTTTGTATATAATACAGTGAAAGACAAAAAAACACCGGACATTCGGATTTTATTGTTTATTTTAAACTGTATGTATTTTTATATTTGTACACATATTTATTTGATTAATATAAGCCAAATTAAACAAGATCACATTTTTGAGTTTTAATTTAAAAAATTTAATTACCATGGTTGGCAAGAAAAATTTAACAAAACGCCGAAAATAATTTAATGACAGAATAAAATTTAACTATAATAATTATATTACTTGGTTTTGCTCTGTATGCCTTATTAAGACCAACACCAGGTAATAAATTGGTAGTTAAATTTATTCTATCACTAAAAGATTTAGTGTTTTTTTGGTGAACTTGCTTTCAAACCGTCATAATTGAATAATTGTAATAAACTCCATATTCGTTCAATTGGTTTACATTAAAATAAGTATGTTGCAACTAATATAGTTTGATATAAACAATAAAATACGTATGCCTGGTGCTTTTTGTACTTGATTATAAACTGCTCAAAAATGAATAGGGATATTTGTAATTTATTCTTATTCTATTATTTAATTAAATTAACCGATATATTCTTGTTAGTTGGATAAAACAAAATAGAAAATACAAACCAAAAAGAAAAAAATTGTTAATCCACATTTTTAATGTCGGATTTGCTTAAGAATAGTAAAAATGAAGATTGCTCATATTGTAAACAAACATCTTTTCTCGTCTTTTCTCCATTTTAATCCCGTTGTTTCACTTTAACCATGGAAAGATATCATCTTGAGCCAGAAGTTCGCAATATTATTGTGAAAATGAGACATCCAGGTCACCGGCAACTGGATATCGCAGAGGCAGTCGGAGTTTCTCAAAGCGTGGTCTCCCGAGCTTTAATCCGATTCCGAGATACTGGAAGTGCCAATAGATGGCCTGGTATTAAACGCATTTCAACGCTAAGGGAGGGCAAGAATATTGTCATTCTGCAAGACGGAATCCTTTCCATAGTGCCCGCCAGATCCTAAATGAAGATACAAGATGTTTTGGCAAGGCCTTTATCAACACAAACGATTCGTAATCGTTTGTGGGAAGTTGGCCTCACATCGTAAACCCCTTTGAGACGATCTGCAAGCGAGCGTCTAAAAGAGAACACCGATTGGAATGCTGGTATGTTTACTGATGAGTCTCGTTTCTGACTGTATAGTGATAGCAGGCGCCGAAGAGTCTACCAGGAACAGGGGATGCGTACAATGCCCCAATTCGTGCTCCATTCAGTGCAGTTTGGAGGAGGCGGTGTAGAGGTCTAAACTGGGATTTACACTGGAGGACGAACTGGACTCCATATTGTTGAAGTTAACTTACCGTAGTCCGTTATGTTCAATAATTTATCGAGGAATACATCGCTCAAACCTGGGAACTCATTGGCAGGGATTTTCGATTTCAGGATCACAATGCCAGACCTTATAGAGGCAGAATTGTTCATCACTGCTTCGAAAACATGGAAATTTCCCATCTGCCTTTCCTCCATTGTCTCCAGACCTCAATCCCATTGAGCACATGTTGGAAACTTTAGAAAAGACTTTACGATCACCAACCGCAGCCAGGTGACCTGCATCGTGGCAACATCTATGGATGAAATTAAAACCTTATGAAAATGAAACCTTATTAACAGGCCTAACAGGTGCACAGAGGTTTTAGCTAACAGAGGACATTATACATGGTATTAATTGTTTAAAAAAATTATTGTATCCAATAAACAAATTTATGGAATTAAAACCTTTTATTTTGTTATTTTTCAAAATCCCTTAATTAAATTTTCCTTCAGTAAAAAACATAATAATTTCCAATAAATTTTAATGTAATTTATAATAAAAGTAAAATAAAAGTGGTAGGGAATTTATACAGTAAGTAAATACTACAAAATTGGCAATATCCCTATTCATTACTGAGCATTTTATATGCGTATATGCACCGGGCCAATGATCATCAAATGTACAAAATGTATAAATATTACCACGGAACACTTTGGTCTCTTTTTTTCACCAAAACCATCTTAAAATGTCTCAATTATTTTGGCATGATACCATCACATACCTGTCTAACATGCTATGATTAGTTTGTGTTATGAAAGTCGGTGGAACTGGTGTAAATTGTAGGACTAATGTAGTCTTACGTCATTTTAAAAGAAGACGAGAGGCGTTCGTTCTCGCTCACTCCTCGCAGGCAGTGGCCTACGATACAATTTTACCATTAGGGAGTTTGTTAATCCCTCGTCATGTGCATGGAGTTGGCCGCCCGTGGGTGGTCTTGTTTAAACTATTCTGCCGTGAAAACATAAACCACCATAATATTATGAGAATTCTTCGTATGGTATGCGGGGTGATGAACCCGCAATTTGGTCGTAACCGATTATTATCGTCTGTTTATCATATAAATCATACAGGACACTGAAGATGGCGAAATGCCGTTATCGCTATTATTGATAGATCCAAAGTTAATATTTTCGGGTGTGAGGTATGTGGCCCCATTAGTTTCAACCATAATAGGTTACCCGTCATCTCTACCAAATTAATTTACACGATAAATGCAGTAAATGCGAATGTGAAGGCCATCCACGGCGGGCACGGACCATGCAATTGCCCACGGACTGATAGATAAGTAACTACCAATAAAGCAATAACACTTTTAGACAGATGGATTTGACAAGGAAAAACAAGATATTGGTTTATATGTTTATAATAGGGTTATTATTTAAATTCTATCAATTGCATAGAACATAATCATTACCATTTTAGATAAGCCCTTAAAATCTGGAAAGCGGATCTGGTTGTTCAATGATTCAAACTTTTTCAATCTAATTTTAAAAACAATAACTCAGCGCATCAACTTTCTAGTTTAACATTTGGATGGATAAAAAAGGTTAGGATTCATTTTCTGGCTTTAACAATACGACATTTTCTTATTTTAGAAGCTGTAAAATTCCCTTTTCCTTTTAATAAAACGTGAGACTAAATGAAGTATATGTTTCTCTTTTTTTGCCTAAATCTAACAAGGTACAGCAGGTTAATTGATAAAAGATAAATCTACGGATGCTAAACGCAATTGCATGGTTCGTTGAAGTGATTTCGGCCTTGATGAGGGAAGGTCGTGACGGTAGCAAGTCACCGGCGTTTTAAGGGCCTTGGTCCTTGTAGAACAAGTCAACAATGACCGTTCCGTAACCCATTTACATATCATATGCACTTATTTGATAATAACAACCTTTCTTTTTTGAGCCATCGTGAAAAGAAGATTGAGGAATATAAAAGGTAAAGGGCGACGAATCAACACTAAACATCTATAAAACAACTTTGGCGTTGCTATATAATAGGAACATTGCCAACCATCAAGTTAAAAAAAGTTATTTTCCAAAACATTTATCTACGTACTTATCAGTTAATTTTCTTGCAAAATCACGTCATCTTCAAAGGGAACATGTAGAAACATACTCCCCATTACAGGGGTACTGTTGTGGAGGAAAAATGGTGTATTCACGATTGAATTCCACTTGTTCTCATTTTGTCATTGAAATAGTTGATCTGTTATTGAATCAGTTCTGACAGTCTGTATCTCAATAGATGATAGTTATTTAATTTTATTTAAAACTGAAATGAATATTGCATTTTTAATCTGTGTGGTGTTCAGAAAACCTTATTGTCAAAAGGAGAAGAAGGGATAAGAAGGTTTAATAATACGGAAAATGACCTTACATTCCGCTTATCCAAAATCGTTTTACAATAAGAAAATCTTCTTTGCTTAAAAAGAAAAATACAAATAATTAAAATCACCCCAAGCCAATAGGAAATGGCAGTTTGTTATGTACTTGAAAGTCGGATTCGGTCAATCATAAAAAGCTCAATCATATCAAAATACAATATTTAAAAATTAATTATTTTTGGTCGCCTTGTGTCGAGAATGTCACTCGGTGTCAGTGGCTCTTTCCAGCTGTCCTCCACGTTCTTCGACCTTTTGGTCATTTTTGTCGGGCAAGGCCGGTTTCAAACAGAAATGCACATTACTTCTAATCCGAAATAAGATCAGGGTTTAAATATCGAGAGCCTCGTCATAATGATCACGATAGTAGTATTATATCATAAAATATGTTTGATAATCGGCTTGTATCGTTTAGGCTCGAATGTGAAGACATGGATTTACTCGATCGAACGGATCGTCAAGTAAGAATTTGTGCACAATAAAATCACGCCTAGACTCATCTATTTAGCCCAAAGAAATATCAAGTGAAATTATCATCGCCAATAAAATTCTTTGAGTATTTATCTTTTAATGATTCAGAAATCTGTCTTGTGTCACCCTTATACATTTGTAGTAGTAAAATTATTTAAGTATTTACGATATATAATACAAGTCTTATACAATAAAACTGGGAAACAATGAAATATAATTGTTTGACAAAGAAGTAAGCAGTACGATCAAAAGCGTTCTGACTCTGCAAGTTTGCGGAAGGTTCACCGGACAAAATTAGATTAGTACGACAAATAAAAAACAGTTCGAAAAAAATACATCTTGTATCGGAAAAGCCGGCGGCGAGTTGGCAACTGTAAAATTCCCCATTACACACTTCACACTTCCCGTTCTTCTATGTCTAGAGTGGACAAAGGATTTTCACGTCGTGACATCCTGAAGGAGAGATTGAAACGTAACTAATACATATCGCACATTTCAATTGTTCGTTTGCTTCATTGTTTATTATGCTGTGGTTATTTTTTATTAAATTTACCCCCTCCTCCCTCCAAAAACATCTCTTATTTAAATATAGAACTGAAGAGATTAAACTTCTGAAAGCTCAAAGTGACTATAAATGGAAGACGAAATGGAAGGAGGTTGGATGTAGTGGAAAATAAATTTCACCTTTTTTGTTTTGCTCATCAATAGTGCGTGAGAATTATTATCCGTCTGCCGGCAAAATTCTATTATAGCAAGTTCTATGCTAAAGATTTTTAT